TCTTTTGATGTTACGGTCGGATGTTGGGCAAAATTTGACAAAACATATTTTATAGGTGTTTCAGACGGCTGAATATCTTTCAATCTTCAGACTCAAATAAAACCTTTATACAACTTTTAAAACTTAGCTTCATGTTTACATCACTTATCGTGACGTCTTACATCTCTAACTACTGAAATTTTGGAATCGTTTGGTTCGTTGGTTGCCGAGGAAAGCGAAGCCAAACAAGTACGACAACGATGAATTAGCAAAAACATCCAAAATTTCAAACTAATTTCGGGCTGGAAGCTATTCAAACTATTACGCATTCCGTATAGCGTAAATGAAACCGGCGAATATGTCGTCTCTATAAATTAATATGTAATTGATACCATTTCCCTATTGTTTCTCGTGCGAATCGCAAAATTTCAAACTTTCCGAGCGTATGACTATACATATTGACGCGACCGCCCAGCGCGTGCTACGGGAAAACGAACAATCGATCAGCAATGCTGTTACATGAAGTGGTGTAATGTAATTGAAACCATAGTTCCTTTGTTTGGACTGGGAATCGTCGGGAATGAATATATATACATAGTAACAACAACCTGTCAAAAAGTATAAATACCGGCACAAAACGAACCGAGAGCCATACGATATTTCGGCAGTCGAAAACGAACATTATCTGAACTCACGCTTCAAACAGAAGTTCCATAAATGAAAAAAATAACGAAGATGGTGGAAGTCTGGGGTGGAACAGGAAAGTCAAAATCTCAAATTACTTGAACATAAATCATGAATTTCTTCGAGAAATCTTGAAATTGAGAATAAATCTGAAAAAATATCAGATGAATAAAAACGACGATGATGGTTGATCGTCACAGCGAGGAGAAGCAAAGACGACAATTCTGATCAAATGAAATTTAAGAGGCAACGACAATTGCTAAATTAACAATTTTAGCAGAAAGACAATTGAAAATGTAAAACATTCCAATGAAATGACGAAAAATTGTTTTTTTTTTAAACCAAAAGAAAATATTACCATCGACTACGACGAACCGCTCTCGTCAACACTAATGCAACAAATGACGACTAAATGAGACACTTAACCAACGCAGTTCTGCCTGGAACTAATTTGAACTCATAGTAATTGACGTTATTCATTTTTATGAATAACTCCTATATCATGTCTAACTAACATGAAGATCTTTTTATAATATTGATCACTGCTAACGATGCCTTTACTGGCAGATAAATGAAACAAACCTTTTTGCTTCTATAATTATTATTTTCAAACGATATCCTTGTATAGGACTAATATTAACGACCCTTCGCCTTCAATGACGAAAATTATTTCATCAAATGTAACTTTATAAACGATAGCACATATATTGTGCTTACTTATCTTGACAACGCTTGTATTTTTTGCAAATAGATATAAATAAATAATTTTTAGTTTTTACTTGTTTTTGATTTTTATATTATTTTGAATAAAAATTGAAATATATTATTATTATACAGCTGAATTGTATCCTAAGTTAAACATGTGTCAGAAGAGGTTTGATTTATCGTTTCATGCAGTTACAGTAAAACCAGATGATATAGATATCTTTTAAATTTGAGTTTAAGTTGATGACGAAATATTTTCGACATGGTGAGGTAAACTGGATAAATCATTTTAAGAGGCGCAAACACACACAAAATTCTCGCTTTGTAAACTGATACAGTGAGTTTGACAACCGACGCAAACAGAAAAACAACGTGACGCCGCAAAATACCCATTTTTGCGCTGTCTCTGTGCCATGTTGACAAAAAGCCCTTATCCTATTCTGGCGAATACTATGAAAATAATGTCATCTGCCACCACCACGTGTTGCACAGTCTCTCTCTCTCTTTACTCCTTTGCGTTTTGCGCAAGATGACGCGAGTCACAAATACGTGCAATTTTGCATTTTCTGGAATTTTTTCTGGAATATCAAAATGTTCAATCAACTTGCGTCCTAAAGCAATCTTACTGATCACAGCCTGTCTGCTTCATCAAAAGTATGTGTAATAACCATTTGATGAGATAATATTTTGTTTATTGCAAGAAAAATGAACAATATTCGAAATGAAAAATATATTTAAAAAATTGAGTTTCGGTATACATATAAATATGCGTCGTCATAATAAGCACAAAAATGTACCTTCGTATATTTATTAAAATTTATATATTTAAAATATTTATTTTTATTCATCTGCAAAAAGATGTTGTTAACGTTTTAGTTCCAAATTGGAACAATGTTAATAATAATTAAATTAAAATATTAAAGGATTGTTATACAATTTTTTTCGCCGATAAAATTATGCTAATAAAAGCGTCGTTGGTAATCAATATTTGAACGCAAATGCTCATTGTCGTAAATTAATAAGAAGTTATTCATAAAATGAATATTGTCATATTTATAAATCAAGCCCCAGCAGGGGCGTACGTCAAAGTTTGGTATCTTTAATCGTCAAATAGTTTAAACATTCATTGCTAGCGATGATGAAATGTCTTCGCCATTGTTGAATTCGTTTCATTTAAAATTCGAAAAAGTTTTCTTTTATTTTACGATTCATTTTTTTTTTTAATTTTTGTTGTTTCATGAGTTGGGGTCACAACTTTGTCTTCGGTCTGTCAGTTCTCGGTTGTGTCTCCTTTGTTTCGCCATATATCAGGACACAAGTTCCCCGTCTAACATCTGTCAGATGTATAGAAGTGTTTTCTTCAATATCTGAAGTTTCGTCAATAGCTTCATGATATCATCATCTTTCAAGTATTTTCATATTTTGACTTCTCTGCTTCACCCCAGTACCCCATCATTTTGTTGATGGTGAAGATTCTTTCAAGTCGCACAATTTAATTCGTTTGAAAGTTCTTTCCAGCTTTCAAAATTTCGAATGATTTGCGAACGGTCAAGCTCCAATATTTATACATTTTCGCGGATTGTATTTATATATGAAACCAGTAGACGGAAAATTACAGTTTGGAGCCTTCCCAGGGTTTGCAAAAGAATCCTGGTATCGATTACATGTAATTAATCACCGGTATTGTTTTTAACTTGTTAGTTTATCTTGGGCACGCGCAGGTCAGTTGTGTAAGCATGTTTGTCATAAGCACGGAAAGCTAGAAATGCTATGATTCTCACATCCTACAATGATAAACTGGTGTCGATTACAGTACAAATTCTTTGGGCATGAAAAGACATCGATCTTCCTAGCAATATACTAAGATTTTTAAACTATGTATGTCTTCTGTAATCTGGGCTAATATGGTATTGTTTAGCGTGGAATCGGTGGAAAATCATTTTCTCTGTGATATATAGATGTATATATATTTAATCTGTATTAGAATTAATGTAATAAATCCGCTGTTTCGGTCGATGTTTTATCGAGCAGTTAAACAAAAATTAACAAAACATATTATATAGATATAGAGTAAAATATCTTTCATCTTCTGTATCTTTCTTTTAGACTCAAATACAAACTTTATGTAACTTATAAAACTCGGCTACATTTTGTGTATAACATCATCTAAGATACAGAAGAATATTTCATAATGATGATTCAATGTGTAATCGACACCGTATTTCCATTGTTATTTGTGGGAATCGCCAAATTTCAAACTTTCCACCCTTATGACTATTCTTATTGACGCGACGTTCCGGAGTGTGTTCTAGGAAAAAGAACATCTTAGGAACAATGCTATAACATAAATTGCTGTAACCGAAACCACGATACTCTTATTCGGCATGGGAAGGCTCTGGGGCGACGCTTTCCATCGAATAGTATTGAATACACGTATGAAAAACAACAGCTTGTCAAAAAGTATAAATTCCGGTACACAACTGCCTTGGAGCCATTCAATATTTCGACAGTGGAAAACAAACATTATCTGAACTACTCGCTTCAAACAGAAGTTCCACAAGAAAGCGAAGATGGTGGAAGTATGGGATGGAACAAGAGAGTTGAAAGATGAAATTACCTGAACAAAAATCGTGAATTTTTCTTGATATTGAAAAAGAAACATCTAAGAAAAATTCCGATAGAAAATCTGCGGAGTTTCGTGAGCGTAACAACGTGGAGAGACGAAGACAAAATTCAAATGAAAAGAAATTTATACGCTGACAATAATTGCTAAAACAATGATTTTAGCAAAATGACGATGAGACAATGCAACGACATGAAAATGTAATGTTACCAATACCATCGACAACGACAAAATTGATTTTGTCAACAATAATGCTTCACATGACGACCAAAGAGACCTTCATCCGACGCAGTTCCGCTTGGAACTAACTTTTAATTATACTATATGACTAGTCATATTCACAATGAATAATGTTTAACCAACTAAACGATGAATATTTGTTATTCTGATAATCATTGTTAACGACGCTTCAACTGACATATCAACGAAGTCATAAGTATGGCTGAATATCAACGATCGTTATAATTAACGACGAAAACATTTTAAAGAAATCTAATGTTATGTAACGATAGCGCAACTATTGCGTTTATTTTTTTGACGACACATACATTTGTGAAAATTTAAATATTTTAACAATTTGTATATTGCATATTATTATATCTTCTTCATAATAAAAACAATAATACAATAATAAATTGGTTGCATGTGCATAGATAGTTTTAGCCACAGACGATAGCGTAGGATAAAACAGAGAAGATTGTTTGTTTCAAGCTTTAGGGCGAAAGATGACGACGTCTGTGGAATTCACAACTACTGATTTCCCGAATACCCACTCTTTATCGTGCTGACAAGCAGTCGATAACCGGATAAAGTATGTAAGACATCGACGCGTACCAGCGCTTTTGTGAAAGACCCATTATTGCGAGTAAACTGTGAGCTCACTAGCGTTTTACTAGCGTTAAAACCTAGGATGAAAACTTTTTGAGTCCTCATTCTGCAAATATTTCTGATAATTCATTTCTAATAGCTTATTTCCTTTTACATTGAACATTGCTATACAAACCAATGGTATGAGATGAATATTTATTGAATTATTTTTCCATCTAAAAGTACAAAAGCAAGTAATGACAAGAACAATCTAAATAAGTACATTCGCTTAATATAAAGACTTGAACACGCTGATTTATACGTTCTTATAAACTAAAGGACTTTCATAGAAATCAGCACAATAGATTGTCAAGTTTTGATTTGTTTCAATGGCGAATCAGATGAACTTTGACCTCTTAATTTGAAGTCACGATCGATTGCTATGCTGAACACTAATACTGGTATCATCAAAATACATGTCTGTCTACCCTTGGATAAGGCCTTTTTATTAATGCACAACACAGGGTCGAACAGTCATTGCATATTCGTATTCGTCAACTTTGTTGAAAGCTTTACATGTGTTAGAGCTGCTTCTCCCACAATTGCCAGGATTGTTCGGCCATAGTTCAATCCAAGTGTTTGCGTCCAAAAGGTGTTTGTATTTTCTGAAATAAATAGCAGTTTGAAAGCAGTGCTTTTTCACAGAGTACAAAATAACATATATATATTATTCAAGAATTAAAGCAAAGCATAGGAGGCGTAGTTTAATAGATAAATAAATCACTTCTGTCTGTACCGTGGTATCTATCTATTCACAAAGCAGAGGTTCAGTGATTCCCCTACTACCCGCCGACTCCCCGAACATCCCCTTCCCTCTTAAAATTTTGAACACCCCAGATATACCCAGAAAGTGGCATATATGCCGGTACAGATGATCAGTCAAACCCATAGCTCATTAATATTAGTTACAATAAGTTTTATCACTAATAATGAAATATCTACAACTCCCTAAATTAGGGGAATCCACCCTTAAAATAAAAACTGGGGAACATACTGGGATAATCACACGCCACATCTCGTACTCTATATTTATCTACATGTTAAGTTTGTTCCATTGCAATTTGATTAGAAATAAATTTTGCTCTGAACCCTTAAAATTAAATGGACATATATCTACATACCCATTGCTTGTTGGCAGCATTGCATGTCCGATGATTAAATAATCTTTGCGAACTGGAATATTTTTACATATTCGTTTTGTCCAAAATACGTGAGTGGTTGACGTACGGATTTCTTTGTTTGTGCCATCAGCGTTACGATATATCGACTTTATGACTCCCTCGTACTGATACCAGTTTTTATCTATCGTTGATTTCTTTGTGAATTGCACTTTATAAGCTGCAAATCAGAAATAAAGTATAAAAGGTTGTCCAACTTAGCAGAACAATAGAAATTGGCTATTTATTTGGTAATAATTCGCAAAAAAATGAAGTAAACAAACTGACTATTCACAAACGGTGTTGACAATTAATTACACCCTTTATTATGAAACCTCAGCTTTCTAAATCTACAACCTTTTCGCACTGGACCGGTTTGAAAAATTTTATTTAGAAAACCTCAAATATAGAGCAATGAAATTTCATTGTTTGTAGAGCCTTATACTTGTCAGACTCTCCATTTTGCAATATATTATCATGAAAAGCTAAAACTCGGTATATCAAGTCAATTTTCACATAATGTAAGGCTGTCTGAAGTTCATCATAAGAATTTTAACTGAAAATTATACCGCCAATATAATTTATTGACCTGGCGCGGCGGTGCTTGCCCGTCACCGTTAGTGGACGAACTTTGTACGGACTACTAAAATGTACTTGCAGATTGCATATGCAAATTCAGATGATGATTGAGAAAACTATTAAAAGTAAAATAATTACCAAAAGTGCTTTTGTGTCCACATGTCAGTTCTTTTCTTTTATCAAGTGTAGTCTTGATAGTTTTTTTCGATTTAATTAGGGTAGGACATGTTTTTCCTTTCGCACATGCACAGAGTTCACTAGCAGATGATACTTGATCGGAACAAAAAGTTACAATTTGTGACGGCAATCCAGGAAAGTTGTAAAACTTTCTACAGAATTTTTCTGTGAAAATAAATGAACGTTCAGTAGATTTTGTCAAGTAATTGATGCAAACAGCTCTTAGAAACCGGGTTCTTCAAGTACTAATATAAAAAAGGCAATGCTCAAATATATATGAAAGTAAAATGGCATAGAATAGTGTTCCAATATATCATATGAAAGTGTTCCCATGAATTGAATTAAAGAGCAAAATTATGACAGAACCACTGACTCCCATAAAACTCAAAGTAAAAAAAATATAGTAAAAGCCTTCTAGCGGCTTCAACCATCTTTTTGCAATGAAAATTTGAAATTGTAAAGTCCCAATACTTATGTAAAAATGCGTTTTTTCACACAACCCCACTTTCAACAGTTTGTAAAAATAAGGATTCACATGTAAACTATATATCCAAACTTTGATTTACCTGGTGCTGAAACAGGATAAATTTTTAATGGAATCGGCTCGTCCTTTATGTAAGTGTCTGATATCCGAAATGATATATCTTTGTCTCCGGTTATATACAGGAAGACGGATCTACCAGTCAAGCGATAATGGTCTATGATGTGTTCTACTGGATTTGATAGCTGAAAATTTTGATTACATCTAATAAATGCACACTGTTTGCAAAATTGATCTCTAGTGTGAAATTGTGGTCACATTGGTAGCGTTACAATATTTCATGTTTTAATTTTACTCGTTCAAGGGTAAATTGAGTTGAAAACTGATTTCTGATTTTCTGCCCAATTGTTAGGTCTGATTTCGGTTTTATAAAGCTTTTTGTACAAAATATGCTGCTGGGCCGATAAAAAGTATTTAATTGTTAGGATTATTTAGGCTTTTGACCTTTTTTATATTAGTTGTATACACTAACTTTTTGTAAATCACTTTCGAAAGCATGAGATCCTATAGGCAGACCAAACTCAACAACGTAAGATTGAAAATCCTCATTCGAAGTATAAAGTTCGTTGATTTTGACTGACAACTTTGCATCCCAAGCTAGACGACCAGGATTGGAAGACCGTGATTGCAGTATCAAAACTGAAATACAGGAATAAATGCTAGAAAAAAATATGTGATCCATCAATCGTTTTTCTCGTCAGAAAAAAGCGCTCGATAACTTTCGGTGACATAAAAATGATTGATTTTCGAAATTTCAGTTTTCTATAATTTCATTATTCATTCTAATTTTTTTAAAATATATTTTATGAAATACGTGGATGGTTTCCAAACCAATGCTGTGATACTAGGGAGACCATCTACTTACATGTGCTGATCGATTCTTGTAGTCCCACAACAACATCATAAATACAAGATAGTGGTTTTTGGGATTTTATTGACTTGACAGGACTCATTTTGACTTTGTTTGATTTTACTGCAGCATCGACTGTGCGGTAAGATGAATCAATCTGTGAAATATGAATCAAAGTATTCAAACTTAATCTGTATTAGTGCTATTGTACATTCGTCTAGAGATATTGGATCAAGTACAAGTCTAGAGTGCATGTCTTTAAATGAACATTGTATTTGATTGGTAGTACACATCTTGTGTGGCCGCCCTCAAAATCAAGCCAACTGTCAAATGGAAACCCAATATGAATATGCCCTCTTTAGCGGAGGACGTTCGAACGTCGATTGGGATCATGTAACCACCCTCACACGTAAATAAATTACAGTACGTTGACGTTTCAGCTTATACCCCTCTTTTAATACCACACAGAATAGATATAAAGTTAATAATTAATTCAGCATCGTTACCTTCACCCAGGCTTTTCCATGTCCATTGGTGCTGTAGCCAATGCTCGGTGTGGCAACATTCAATTTCATTTGTGCAATATTATCTCCTGTGTCGTGGCCGTTTATTTCAATTGTTGAATTTGCCAGGTCATCCAACTGAGAATATAATACGTTTTACGACTAAGTGACATTAGCACGAATGTGAAATTAAATCGAAGCATTTGTACAGAATTGTTTTTTACAAATGCTTATGAAGACAAATGACTTTCTGTAAGGAAGAGTTTCAAAAAAATGTAGAATAATTTATAAAATAGCGATTATGAATACACTAAAAGGCAATTTAAATAGAGCACAATACCACAGACCAAAGCATGTAAAACACTACTGTATCATTGTTTTCATAGGGAAATGATGAAAACGAATATACTTGGATTGCCAACTGTCCCATATTGCTAGCAGTGTTAGCGTGTAAAGTGTATTGTCTTAAAGCTTCCATCGCGGCCATATTTGCTCGAAAAGAAGTCCAGTATCCGTCATTATTTCTTTGCTGTATTAACCAGTTTGCGTATTCGTCAGTCTTGGATCCTAAAATCAAGAGATGTTTTAGGATGAAGTGTTTCAATTCAAATTAACTGACTTATCTACTACTTGTTACATTTCAGAAATACCTTGCAATATAGCATGTCGCAGCATGTGAGAAGTTGCAACAATGTGATTCGTTTCAACGTCTCTCTCATCCAGCACTCGTTTCAAAGGATTGTATCGTTGATTCTGAAAAGAAGTAAGTTGAATCGTACAAGAGTGATAATTATTCCTGAAGCGAGAAACAGGTATTTGTCTCTTATTGTGCATAAAGTAAATCTATGAATAGTTATCTCAAATTGGTATTGCTGGGAATGTTATTAATGTTGTTGTGTCGTATAAATCTTTTTATCCAAGTACTATAGACTATTAACTTTCAAAATGTTATTTCATAAGTTATTCTTTTTATCCTTGAGGACGCCGTTATATCTCTGCTTTCGCCTTTTTTTAATAGCGCCTTCGTACGGATTTTGCGTAGAGTCGTAGACCATAGTTTTGAAATCTGCTTCCGCTAAACTATATTTGGGCTGATGTCTCATGGAAGTGGTCATACACCTCAATTTCCAAGGAGCTGGAGTGCAGCTGAAGGTGAAAACATTTAGTTCAGGAGTCAGAGATAGAGACACAGTTTGAACTACCATTGTGATTTCAAACCAGCTTCCCAGCTCCGAGTAAAGACGTGGTTTGGCCAAGGAGCAAAATTTAAAAAAAATTTCATACTTGAATCCACGCGACGTCCGTGTTGGCATCATTTGTGGTCGATCTTGTTCTTTTCCATAGTTTTGCTCTAGACGCTGCCTTGAAAGAAACTCTGTCGCCAAGACGCTTTAAAATTTCAGCTGCTGCTGAGAAGGCGACAGCGCTCCATTGGCGCGAATGTTGAATAATCTGAAATAATATTATTTTCAAAGCAGTAATAAAAAAATAATAATATTCGTTATAACTCTGTCAACCAGAATGGAATGATCAGCACCACTAAGCCACCATTGTTCAATGATTTTAATAAAATGTTTGACCATGTTAACTGAAAGGATGACTACAGCCTTGTCCTTAGTATGCGAAACATTTTGTAGGTCCAAAATTTTGGGTACTCCCGTAGTATGTAAACCAAGATGGCGGACACCGGAGCGTAGTATGTGCACCAGGTTGGGGTTAGGCCATAATTCCAGGTACAAATACTACGGGAGTCACTTGGCTAGACCCCGTACTCGTAATAGAACTAAAAGAAGGAAAAATTGGCATAAAATTATGGTCTAACCCTAATCTGGTACACATACTACGTTTCGGTGTCCGCCATCGTGATTCACATACTACGGTAGTACCCATTTTTGACGAATTCTGGGATCTAGTTTCGGTTATTCAAGCGTCAACTCCTATGTATGCAACCCCCAGTGGATTATTCATAGAACGTCGTTTTATACTAAGGGTTGCATGGCAAAATACAAACGAATCACCTTTGTTATTTTTCTTCTCAGATATATTTTTCCGTTTAAGATCGCCACATCTATGCTAATGTAATCAGAATCATCTCTGAAATTAAAGGGGCAATTTATTTATAACAACACGTTTGCATATTTCCATAATCATAAATTATAACTAACTCACAATGATGTGAATGCTTGAAGAGTTTTGGTTTAAACAACCGATATGCCTTATAAAAAAAATGTGGTCCTCTTATATTGAAGAATATCTTATCTTATCAATAATCTAAAAATTGTTGACTTACCTATTAAATTCAGGATGATTTTCCATAATTTCTTTAACTGATAGCAAATTTAACAACACTGTACTTGTGATATAGATCTGAAGAATATTTGAATATATTACAGTTAACCACTCAAAAAAATTACTGGCGTCGAGAACATGTTCCACTGTTGGAGTGCAGATCCAATAAAAGAACAAGAATATTAGATGTGAAAATTGCAAAATGGAATAGTGAGCTAATGCTCTCAATATATAGAAAACAAATTTCAATAAAGACTGTATGATATATCATCTTATATATAATAGTTCAGATGAATAAACATACATATTTACATCATTAGGTGTCGCTTGGTCGTTTATGTTTTATTACCGGTATCATTCGATACCGAAATAAAAATCCCCTTTCAGGGGGATACATACTTCTGAATTCTGATCTCTGACTAGCAAAAGGAAATCAAAATATAGGCGCCTTCCAATATTACTATTAATATCTAAATCAGTGATTTTAATTTCACATATATACCCTTTTATCGGATGTAGACATCAGTAACCGATCCTGTGCTTTAGCAGCATTTTGTCGTTTGCTCCTAAAATAAATAAAATTAGTTTGAGATGAAAAAATCTGAACCTTTCTGAAATTTTGTGTTTGACTCACCCACCTTCTTATTGATTCTTTTTCATTAAGTTCAACAGCAGTGCTTGTTCTGAAATAACCCAGTGGTACTTGGTGACGTAGAATCCAATGCAAGGAACCACCCAACATTTTCTGAGAACATAATAAAACATTGGATATTCATGTGTAGGTAAAAACATAACATACTATTATTTTGTCAGCAATAAATAAAAAAAATGTATAGTTTGGAATTCTATGCAGTTATCCTGCCTATCTCTTATTTACTGAACCCCATATCAATAATCATTATTAACTTTATACCGTTTTTGAAGTTTGCTGTGTGCACAATTTTCGTTTAGCCTCTGCTTACCGTATCAATTTCAATAAATTCTTTCATTTTATATAATAGCTCAAATACAGTTGAAGTTAGGTGCATTGATGGAGTCGATGTCGTCACGGGAGAATAAGAAAAACCGAAGTGCTCGTAATCATCGGATACTATAAAGTAAATTGAAATTATTATAATTACGAAAAAAGCTAAAATATTTATTTATACTAAATAATTATAGGCAAGCAAACAAAAACATGGCTTCCAATCTTCTACGGACTATTACTCAGGGTAGAACGAAGTTTTTCTTGTCGTCCAAGACGCTTTTCAAACAATATGTCTTCTGTACACTCATTGTAAACGACCAATTACTTTGAAAACCAACTTACCACTGAATCCGAGTTTTTTAACTTTGACGTATCTCAAATATCCAAGTAAACCATCATATGATTCTTGAATTGTCTCCATTAACTTGTCTTCATATCTAGTCTTTATCGCGCCAATATTCCTCAGAAATTGTAATCTGTATAAACATAGCACATTCATATCGGTTCGGTTTGCGGAAAAATCTTAGTTCCATTCAATCAAAATGAAATATTAAATTTTGGGTGAAGTTTCGGGTTTGAAAATAACGTAAAAGCCTTCTCTTGGTTTCAACCTTCTTTAGCACTGACAACTTGTAATCAATGGGTCCATTAGTTGTGAGAAAAGCGATTTACATCATTTCAATCATCACAACAAAAATTTGTCAAAACGCTACTTATGTATATTTCGTGCCCAATGATGTAAACATACTTTGACAATGCTGGGTGCAGTTGATACAATATATCTTGAATAGTAATGGATTCGGCGGCTGGTTTATGAGGATTATCCATTGATGCAGATGGAATGCTGTGCACTGACATTGTAACCTGAAGTTGATAATATAATTGCTTTATTTTATGAGTTGAAGCACAAGAAAAAAATATACAGTAAGAAACGAAGAATGAAAGAGATATATTAGGTACAAATAATCAATGAAACACCATCAAGTTACCTCTTCGGATCCTGGTATAACATTATCAGGAATGTTCAGCAGAAGGCTTTTCTTTTTCTTCCGATTCCGTCCCAGAGCATATCCTTTGGGATTTGAGTCAACAAGAACCCAAGAAACGTCTCGTTTATGTTCGCCTTCTGGAAGAACTTTCAACGTTTTCTCAACTAGATCAACTTTAGGCTGCGATGACCCGCCATATCTTGCCAGAAGTTTGAACTGTGTAATGATTTATTGCTTAGTTTAGTAAACAATGGTTATACAGCAATGACAACGTAATGCTTTGGTATTATGTTTTTCCTTTTCATGATTTCAGGAAAGGTGATCTTCGTTTCTCTTTTAATTACCCAACATTGTTCATACGACAGCGACGTAGCATCGTAAAATCAGAATTAAATAATTTCTGTTTCTAGCTCGTTAGCCTAAAGTACTTACTTTCCCATAGATGGAATCATTTAACAAATACACTCGAATAAAATATTTGTTACCTTAATTTTTACATTTCCACTTCGTAATGGTATCATGACGTAACGAGCCGTTTTTGTTGTTGGGTTGTTTCCGGACGCTGGGTGCAAAGTATACTGTGATCCGTCTGATCCTTTATGTAGTGTAGCTTTACTACACAAGGCTTCATCACGTTCAAGATAGAGATTCGCCTAAAAATAAGTTAAATGTATCAAAACCGAGCCCTTTCGTTGGGGACAATATCAGTACAAAATTCTCAAGTGCCGCGACGCGAGAGTCCGCATCGGACACAAATAATTCTCTCCTTTTCACCATTTCTCAGCATAGAATAAATTCTCTCACCTCGACTTCCTCTTCGATATGGTTATATATTGTAACTTCAGCAGATACTTGCGTTCCAACAACTACAGGTTCTTCATTTATTCTAACGTCAATGTAAACATTGTGTTCAACCGGCAATTCGAGTGGAATACCAACACATAATGGTTTATCCTGTATGTGAACACAATTTTAGATATCCCAATTGAACCGAATTATATTAAGCTTTATAGAATATCTATTTGAACTTGATATTTCACATGTTTCAAAATATCTTTAATTTCGCAGACAGGAGAATGATTGTGCTAAGTTTTATTGCTTTGAATGAGCTATCTTACTGCTGATGAGCCGACGACATCGACTTTCCATGTTGTTATCCTGTCTGGAAGAACCGGGATGCTCGGCATGGATGCGTTTTCGAGTATTTTTCTTCCACTCTGACTAAAATAAAACACGCAAGTGCATTGCATTGTAGAAATACAAAATAAAGTTTGATTTACTCCAATTCACGACAATACAAAATCGATTAGAAAATGGTGAAAATAAAAAAAAAATAAACTGCACACAAAACCGTAACTAACTAACCCCATCTGAAAGTCAACGAAAAACCAAGTTGGATTAAAATCTTTACGTCGAAGTACAACAGATTTTTCCACCATGAAGGATGTTTTCATTTCTTGAGTGAACGGCGAGAACGTTGGAGTCACCGATCGTAAAAAGGAATCAGTAACTTTATCACGACTGAAAAAAGTGGACATCTTGAGTTAATTAAATGCACAATTTTCATAACAATACTACAGAGTCACTTTCGCTGACCCTACCTGTGCATGCAATCTTCCAAGCTATCGTCGGTAGTCCTCAAGCATTCAGCTATTAAGCAACATTTCAAGAAAGTATGTCGACAGAAATGGCCAACATGAACGCGGTGTTGACGTTCATGGCATGTTGTGTTTGTTGGTGTATGATATACAGACGACAAATCTCGAGCCCCAACAATACAACACTCAAACATTGCTCCTGAGTACTTGTAGGCTAAAGGAATTTTTATCATTAAATGCCTTGCGTTTGTACTGTGTATTTCCTTTTTTAAAGATTCATACCTAAAGTTAAGATAGACGCTCCAATAGCCTTGTCGACAATACTTCGTTTAGATCTTTTAGTGTCATCTTCTCGCACAGGAAAGTTGTTCTTGTACATTGGATACCTTGATCGTAGCATTGGAGCTTCCATTGTTTTATCACCAAAACTTCGTTTGCGTCTTGTTGCTACATCATCACACACCGAAAAACTGTTCATATGGATTGACCCAAAATATTGCCGACCTGCAACAATATAGACTCAATTATGTCGCTTTGTCAAAGCTAGCCAAATCAAAAGGGTGTAATAGGTTGGTTAGCTCCAAATCGCAAACTTTTTTTCGATTATGTCTACAGTTCATAATATCCCAGTGACTGTTGTATAGTATGGTTAATAAAGTGAAGGTTTGGGTACATTCAAAATCTAACCGTGTTTGCAAACGTCCGATGAAGAATATCTGATTTGTTCGAGATCTTCGGCTGTTTCTCTTTTAGAAGCGACATCGAACGAATTTACGGCTTGGTCTCTTCCAACCATGCTGATAATAGACTCTGGGTCGCCTGTCACTTCCAAATTTAACTAAAAATGGAAAAGTATTTGAAGCATTTTATAATGCGTTATTGATTGAAAGAAAGTACTTTGTTTGCAGTGGGTTTCAAGTTAAATTCATAACTATGTGACCAGATCGAGCAAGTTTTTTATAGTATTTATAATTAATAGTATTTATATTTAATAAAAGATACACAAATGATTAATGTAGTTAAATTGCATGTCACATCTGTATTATGTGCTTACTTGTGCTCCAGGGCGTGGATATTGTCCACCAGGATCATTCAAAAACACTTCTGGCGTGTTTCCATAGCAAGCTTTCTCAATATACAAAACAGTTCGATCTTCTACGATGTCTTGAAAATCTTAAAAGTTATTTTATGATATAACTAACAATAGGAAAACCTGATGAAATTATTAACGATCTTATATATATATATATTTGATTCCATGAAAACGGTTAAATTGAGACAAAGGTTTCAATTTTCATAAATAGGAATTTGAAATGATAGTTTTTGGCATCTTTAAGTTTTCCAATTTTCTCATTTTCGAAATTGGAAAAAAAATAAAAATGGTAAAACAGCAACTTAAAAACTAGAAAATTAATTTTTTTCTTTCATCTCCTGAACTTACTTTGAGTGAAGTAGTATACAGTCATAGTTATAGCAGGAGACATTGACGATATTATGGGCAAATGAATTAGAATATCCGATTCTCCTCTTCCTACGGTTGCCGACTGTTGAACCAAGAATTTTCCATTTTTTGTGATGTAATAATGAATCTAAAAAGTCATTTTTGTAGTAAAAAATTTTTTGTTCTTCATTGCGGATTTTGAAACCAATTTTATCACTGCGTAAATCTACGATTATATAAAAAAAAAATAGAAAAGTACACCACTGTCTTTGGGTATGGTCCACTTGAGTATGATTTGAACTGATTCCAGTCGAGAATCAGTATTTGTTTTCCTTTTACGGTGAGATTACCCTGCACCCACTCTCATTGGTTGTCGGTCTTGAAAGAAATCAAAAAGCATTGGAAGCACTAAACGCCCTAACTTTGATATGCGACAGAAATATAGCATTTGTTTCTTGTGAGCATTAATTCAAGATTGCCACTTTTAACTAATTTAGCTATAGGATATGCCTAAACGGGAATAAAACTCTTACACGAGAACTGTTGCCTCAATAATATCGGTTGTTAAGTTACTTGTACAAATTCGCGTTTGAATCAAAGGCAGACAGACACCTTCTAGTAATCAGGAGAGTATTGTATGGGAACGTAACGCAGTGACATGAATACCAACCAGTCTGTCGGCGGATGACGCCTTTATGTAAACTTGAATAACTGCGCTTGTGTCGATTTGAAGACGTTCTTGTGGTGCCTCTATGTGAATATATTCAGTCGATTCGGGTTTCTGAAAAGAAATGAACTTTTCCAAATATTGTCTATTAGAAACTATGCAACTAATCTGTATTTGAATTCCAACACACCCTTCAGCTGCTAAACTTAGGAATAAACTTACACGAGCACTCAATAGTTCCGATTTTGTCGTCACGTAAACGTGTCCATTGTGTCCGGTGAATCTCGCAGATGTTGTTACTTTTATTGCTGTGGTTGTTTCACTTTGTGTAACTTGTGTCGTCCGAGTCATTGCAGTGCCAAGGTCACAAGTCTAATTTTCAACAAAGAATGTTAGATAAGGATACGCTAGCTAGACTTTATTAATCAAAAAGATTTCAACTATTTAAATTCGATCCATGTACATGAAATGAGTGTTGTAAATATGCTGTACAGTTGTACATTATATCCAAGGTCGCATGCTATACGAAATTGAGCAAATTTGTTTGATTGTGTTGAATATCAAAACACTTAGAGTTAAAGGAATGGCTGAAACCAAATTGTCTAAACGCTGTTTCCTATTAAATATTGTACATGGTGTAAAAAGATTTTGTAACTTGAACAATTTTCAGCATGCTCCATGTGAACTTACCTCTGAGGTTACTCTGTGTAGTTCAGTTTCTATTCCAAATATGTCAACAGAAGATATAACAAACTCTACATCGACACCAATTGACAAAGTACCATCCGGATAGTTTAGTTGTACCTAAACGAGCATAAATATCAGGGTACATTAGGGACTCAATTGTACCTGCTGGTAAATTGTAAAAGCAGATGGGGTTCAATATTTTGTTGCGATGTTGATGAACCTTTTTAAAACGCGTACCAGTCATAGGGCGGACAACGAACAAGCTAGCAGAAAAGATCAGATAAGAGGATAGTTTTGTGATCGAATTCCTATAGCCTAGCTGGAGAAGTAGAGTGCTACTTTTACTATTTTTAATGGATAAAGATTTCATACTCACGTTAGTTAAGACCGGGACTCCCGGCTGGAAAAATTGCCTTCCTTTCACAAATTTCATTATGTATGGCTCCATTGAAAATACAATCTTTTCCTCTCTAATTGTCTGTGATTCTCCTGTTCCATGTTCAGTTACAGAAGCAATTACCAAAAGCCGTTTACCAGATACTGAAGAAATAGTTTGTTCCCCAAGCTAAAAAGTAAGGAAAGTATTTTGGTTCTGACTGATTACTTTGCATATCACGTTATGTCTTGAGTATTTGTGTGAGAACAAATCCGTTTGCTCGCATAAATATCAATTGCACTCGAAGAAGTCATGTATAGATCGTTTGGCTGAATTGTTTTCTAGAAAGCTATTGCTTTTTTTTATCTCATTTATTAAGTTTATTAAATAATAAATAACTTTTCCGCTTGAATGATTTTGATGATCACGTGATCTGAAACACCGCACGTCGGTAATCTTTAGCCAACTGGCCACGACTGTCTTTAGTCCATATATTTAGGCATTACTCTCTTGTTGTTTTCTTTTATTTATTAATATGAATAATTGTTCTACAGGTACATAGTCCATAAAATGTGAAGTGTTTTAGTGAATTGAAAAAGATTGTGTACTTACTAAACTAGACACTGGTATGGTAAATCTACTTTCTCCATCCACCAATCGTAAGTTGTTAATGATATGTGTCATTGTTACGTCATCTTCATCAGAAATCGAAACGATACCGAATTGGACTTGACCACTTCCGGTTATAGGCTTATTGTGAAAAGACCTTGCACAATTTTAAAAATAATACTCAAGGTATGTGGCTATAGAATAAATAGTTACCAGTTTCCTTGTCAAGTATTTTATATACAGGGCCACATAAGTAAAATTTAACGAGTATAGTTTTCTGCTTCTCAACAATATTCTACGCTAAGAATTTGCCGCGAAAATTCCGTTTTTGTAGAATGAAATTACACTTGACATACCCCTTTCTTCGATGACCCCATTCATTCATAGAGCTTAGATCTGGTTATATTTCTTAATCCTCTTCATACATATATAGCCTTCTGTAAAAGCAACGTATTTTTTGCAATATCAAAATCAAATTAAACTTACCTAGCTAAAAATTTAATCTCGAATTCTTCGTCTTCCGGAAGTATGAATGTGTTACCAATATACTCAACGTTAACTCTGAACGAAGGTATGCTCTTGTATGCGACGTTGAATGTAGATTGAAAAACTTCATCTGTCGTTGTATTACTGAAAACGTATATTTGCGAAACATTAAATAGCACCAGTTAATATGTCTACACATTTATAGTGGTTTACCTTTGATTTTATAATGATGTACTACATGTTAGAGAGTTTAGGTTTGAACAAGGAGCAGGGGTCGAAAGTACATGCACGCAGCACTATCTAGTCTAGATTCTAGTACTTCAGATCGCGTTGCGCAGATTGTTAACGTTAGTGTGACCTAGTCTCAAATGCATTTGCACTCTTGCAGTTTGCACTTCACCTCGAATATTTTGCTGATATCTTCCATTCCCCCAACAATGAATCGTGCGGGATCTTGAATTTTCTTACGAATGGTTGTTTCGTGAATGTGTGTGATTTCTGCCACGACATCATCCTTGTTTCTCCTACACCAGGAGACTGTTGTGAAATAATATTAGCGTCTTCAATTTCCTCTACATATTTAGTCGGAAATTTCCATTTCGATTATAACATAATAACTTTCTTGTAGTGGAAAATACGAATGGATTAAATCAGTTTGCTCGTGTAGCCCGTCAGACTCTTGTCAAAATTACTCGAATTGTTCATAAACAATTAGTTTTGAAAATTATACGTGGCGTAATAAATTTGTACCTGAATTTCAGAGTTTATAAGTTAAAGAAATTTTGTATTACCTCAATTGTTAGTAACGACTTCTCTCTCATCAGCACAAAATCATCAGTCAGTGGCATAAATCTTACATATGCTGAAAATTTCAATATATATATATGTATACTAAAGACTACACGTCAAATAAACAAATACGTAATTTCAAATATATGCAAGGTTTGAAAATTAGCGTGGCGTGACGTATTACTAAAAACCTGCTATGGAAGATTCTCTATAATGTCCAGTTTGTGATGTCTAAAAGATTCATTAGAATATTTAGACTGTTTTTCCATTTAGACGACTAACGAAAAATGTGTGATACAATTGTTTAATGTATATTTGAACAAAGAAAAACAATTCATTCTATAGAGTTCTCTATGCACGCGAAAATCGTGATGTTCCTATATAGTGACACGCACCTTCGTCTCCGGGAAAATAAACTGGTCTGTCTGTTTGAATGAAGATCCTTCCTGGAGTTTTTACAACGTTTAAAGTAACTCTTTCTAGCCACAACATTATGAAGGTTTCGGACACAGTGATTGATAGCGTAACTGAACATAAATCGTCCGTCTCGAGTTCAGAATTTTGACATTCTTCAAAAGGTGGGGAAACTTTGAACGGAATGTGAAATGTATGGTAGTTCTTCGTGAACCGGTGTAAAATCTTTAAAGCAAATTTCATAATACAAAAGATGAGAAATTATAGACATTTGCTTAATCTTAAAAGCTTTGCCGCGCCCACAAGTAAATTCTATGAACTACTGCTACCGGTATTGCTGAACATCTCACAATTGAACTGGTTTATTCACGTCTGGACGTGGCACAGCAAAATTATGTTTGACGACGAATCCAAATCATTAGAAGCAAAATATTTGGCTCAAATCAACACGTCTTACTTTTTTTTTAATAAAACTTTATTTCTAACAAATTAAGCTTCAATATAATGTGTAGGTTAATTTTAATTCAATGGCATAGTCAGGTTGAGAACACATTTCAACGTATGCACATTAATGTAATGAAAACAACATGAATAAAATAATGCATTAAAATATTACTGAGTCTTTTCAATTTGCAATTAATCGAACAATATTTATAAAGCTAATACAGACTAATTTCCCTCTGATGTGGCATCTTTAATCATGGAAAGTAAGAGGAATTCAAATTCGTGATTGATAATATTAAAACTTTCTTCTAACATGAGTTGTTCCACGACTGAAGATGCTATCTGTTCCAAATGGCGTAACTTTTGTTTATTATGTTCTGCTTATTACAGTAAATGAGATTCACTCACGCGATCGGTAAAAAAGACATCGTTTGATTTTGATGTAATTTCAACTTGAATTGTAATAGATTGTGGCATGTTCGCTCTGACTGCAGTCAATATCATAGATTCCTTTACGTTATGTCGAATGTTTTTTGGTACATCAACAGTAAACTCCAAGCTAAACATGAATAAAAACGAGAGTGATAATTAATTACATCATTATAATAATATTGTGCTGAGATAGTCTCCAAGCAAGTGGGGATTGTGCAAATCCCCTGTAAGTTTTGCATTTGATCTAAATTTCAGGACGATTTAGTTACCCATATTACACCAGATAACCTAAATTATGATGATAAAAACTATGTTTGTTATTGCACTGATATTTCAAACAAAACACTTATTTCGACACGTCGCAAACGCAAATGGGATGAAAAGGCCCGTCGTTGAGCTGGTAACAAAAAATTATATTCGAAAGACATATAAAAGTAAGTATCTGATAAAATCATCTTCAGTGTTTCTAGAAGTTACGTTTTCTTCAAGACCGATTTTGAAAAAAGATTATTTTTGGGACACAAGGGATTTTTTCATTTATACAGTGCAGATATATATGTATATATTCTCCTACAAAAATACTAATTTTTCAATTTACCAACTGTATTCAAAAGACGTCACGGCACATGACTTGCGGCACGCGTTTATCGATTCTATTTATTGGCGCCCAATTGCCCGTTCGCACAACGACTCTAGGGTCAATGACCTTTTGTACAATTTATTAAGTCAAACCGTCAACAATCATCAGTTGCATACCATTGAATTAATATAAATAACACTTATTACTCTAAAATCAAGAGTTACCGCTATCAGTACACAAAGTTATGCATATCATTGACAATTAAGAAAGCGAAGAAAGCATTTTCTTTCTTTTCTACTTCAAAAACATGACTTGTGACTACAATGCATAAAGCAGCAGCAGCTAAATCGCAAAATATTCCCGGATTATGATAATTACTTACTGAAAATAGCTAAACGAATAGATGATCATAAAGAATCGAATGCATGCACTTGTTCAGGAAAAAATATAGGTAATATTTGAATTTAATGCTGATGAGATTCGCTAGGTGGGTGAAACTCCTTATAAATTACTTTCGCTCTTATTAGTAAATATATATTACCAAGATTCTACGGATTAGTCAATGTTAGTTTTTGCAGTGAGTATAAATGCTTTAGTTTTTATCATGATTATCGTGAAATTTCTAGCTTTCTCCTTATATATATATTTTCAAGTGTAAAGCTCTTACCTGCTTACTGAATTCCACAGCAAAACTTCTAATGCTAATACTTTGCATAATATATCCAAGACTATGTAACCCATTTCAAAAACTGTCGCCAAAACTTGAGGCGCAAATCCTCGTTGTTGTTCAACTTACAACACGAGAAATGATACGAACCAAATCCCCTGTAATCCAGATTTCAATGTATTTAAGCGGTCGAGCAGTCAATGATCGGAAATGACGGCCTGTCGGCAGATTTGTATTTACGTTTAGAAATGTCGGCTGGATTTGATGTGACTGCGACTGGATTTGATGTGACGCCACATAAGTTGCTAGGGTCTTTCCCAATGTTAGCAAAATTTAGACGCAACCTGGGGGTGACTTATTTTTAACATTTTTTATTGTAATGTTGTTGCATCATTTTGAAGAGTGTAGTTTATGAATAGCCTACGCAACTTGCATTGAAGCTTTCAAACTCAATTCTAACTACGTGTATATTCTGATGAAATATTTCGTGAAAAATATAAGAAAGAAATGATAGTAAATTTGAGTTGTATCAATTAATTTATACGTTACTTCGTATTTTATGTGTCAGAATCCTTTGTCCCATCAATTCTTCTTATATACCTATCAAAACTGTAATTCGTGTTAAAACCCCTATGCAGTTTAGCTTCTACATAATCCGTCAAATTTGACATCTGAAGGTATACAGTGTATACTCTACACTAGGGCTACTCAACTATTTTTACCAAATATCCCCATACAGAACTTTAAATTATTTGGGTCCGGTGTTTCCAGAAATTATATTTCGGCATCCGTAAACGCGCACTTCCTTGACCGGCTAATGATTATCAGCTAATCAAGATAGTTCAGTATGATGTTATAGTTCTTTTCATATATATTCAAAACAATAAAAGTCGTTTTATAAAATGAAACTACAAAAGTGGGGCTAATGATCCAGAATAAAGAATTAGGTGCGGTCCGAATCAACTATTCGAAAGACCCGTTTTCACACCGCGGTCCGCCGGTATATAGCACTATACAACAACCGCTTGGTGGAGCAGAGAGCAACATTACCCGAAAATGAGGGAGGCGCCGTCTTATGAGACAATGATAACAATTTTAGCAGGTATCGGACAGAAATATTTCAACTTCAATTTAAAATATATCCAAATTTTAAAAACTCAACTGAATATCAAAAACATCACATGATTTCAGATGCTATGCAAAAAATCATAAAACCAAAATAAAATTTGTAGTTTTTGTATTTGAAGTTTTGATGTCTAAACGTTAAAATTATACGTTTTGTCAGTCAGTTAAACCGTTTCCCAAAGTCAATTTACTCAATGTCCATGAGGCAAATGAGTAATAAGATAGTATGATGATTCATTTTTTTAAGATTTTGCCAGGGCTAGTCTTTCGGTAGACCACTTGCTATATATTTACTTAACCTATAGGTAGGTAATCAAGGCGAGATATTAACGGGGTGTTGGTAACGAAAATTAAAGGGAGGTTATATTAGGTTTGTCCAGACGAAGACGCTAACGACAATCAAGGCAGTCTTCGCTATCATATAAAGAGAGACGGACAAGTTCACTATTTGACGATAATGAAATATGTAGTTTATACATGTGATGTATTTTTAAAACATCAACATCTTAGAATATTTTCTTGTTCTGTTTTATATTCTTTGTCTGCATAATGTCCATGATATTTTCATAACACTAAACTTTTCATGAATGTGTGTTGTATAAATCTATATTAATTATTAGCCTACAGCAGTATAGTAGATATAATAGCCTAGCATCATAGGATATCGTCAGAATAATCTTCTGAGGTTTTAGCCACAATTGTACGGTTTTTCATTTTAATATACTAATGGTATATGAAACAATTTATCTCACGTGAAAACTCGCTATCGCAAACACCTACGTGTCAAAATTCACTTTCGCGGGATTAAAACAGGTAGATGGTATCTAAATGGTTCCCAAGTTCATACATACGGAAGGCCTTTGCTGAAAACGGCCGGGAAATAACTAAATTTTCTATGTCAATGGTGGAAAAATCATATGATGAACTAGTCATAGAAAATGGATAGAGATAGAATCTGTAGATCACAGTGGATTTTTCAGTTAAACCTGTATTTAGTTACAGTTATTTTTTGTGAGGCCTGAAATGTGAAATAAGTACGCAAAAAAAGTAAAAGTGTGCATATGATATTAATAAGGCATTATCAATGAGCATTAATAATTTTCTTTGCTTTTCGTCTGCCCAATAGATAACTATGATCGACTTCATAAAAGCAGCCAATCCTTGTGAGAATATTGATTCAGTTATTATCAGGTCTGTTTATTTATTTAGTATCTACGGAATTACGTAGGATTTAAAATTAGGCCACATTTCGTCATAGTAGGGATTTGTTTGAAGTAGGTAGAAGTAAAATTGATGTTTTGAACAGAACTTCTGAAGTTTTTGTTTGATCATGCGATTTAAATTTTTGGCGTCAGTGATGAAACAATTTCAAATTATTTGATCAAACTCTATAACGTGGAATTAGAGTGGATCAGTTACAATACAAACCACAAGCTATTTCATTTCATTGATTCAACGAATAGAAAGCATTTATTCAAAACAGCTAGACTGCTGTTCGCAAATATAACATAAATAACATGTTTAATGCGTTTGCTTTGAAGCAGTAGCGATTTAGTTTTGCGGGCTTGGTAGATGAATTATATATTCTTTTGCAGTAAATTTGGAGTACAAAATGTAACATGTAATAGATTCAACCAGGCTGAAACTAGATAGAGAAGTTACCATAGGCTTGTGAAATCTTCTACCCAAACATATTCAAACAAAATCTGTTTTTCCGAGGCTTGTTTTGTTCATCTCGCACTGACCTCATTTGACATTACGAAAAACCTGTCGTTGACGTCATTGGTTATTTTTATTAATAAATGAGTTCTGCTACGTAGGTATCCCATGTCTATATCTCGGAGCCTGTATTGTTTGCAGATATTGGAAATTGATCATATTAGGTAATAAGAACTTGTGTTTTTCGCATGCAGCTTTGACTTTTACACCAGTTATTCATAGAGATGACATGTATATGTAGAAGGTCAAGAATTGACATAGTCAGAGATGTCTAAAGTCCATTAAAGGATAGCCCAAATATTGCGGATATTCTGAAATATTGGGGTTTGAAAATTGAGATCAAATTCTACTTGCGAATTTGAATAAACGCTGAAGAGGTCAATCGTGTGATAGAATCGTTTGATTGATTCCTGCCATATCATGGTGATTGTTTGAATATATACACGGATATATATATATTGTAGATACAAAGAATAGTTGTTCACTCCTCGTTCACATATACTGTGATTACCGCTGTGACGACTGAAATAAATGAAACAAACCAAACACGGATTCGTGATATCAGCATCCACAAATCATTTTACATCCTATCAAATCTAATGGATAATACATTTTCGCTCAGTCACAATGTCAACAAACGTGACTTGAAATTTTAATTGAGAAAATATTGCTTTATACTTCTGTATTAATTCTGTATTACTTACCCTTCTGACGCCCTTAAATTTAATATTGTGGCGTAAGTATCTCTACCAACTGTGTATTGTCTTCCGTTGTTTCATGGTAACGCAAATTGAAAAACTTTTTTCACATATTTTCCGCCAATTTTGAATAGATTTTACTAAACCATATTAATTTTATATTATTTAGCCGAGATATAATACATCAGTCCAATATTATTTTTAGTTGATTACGTATCTTTTGAAATCCAATATCAAGATTGAGTTGGCAGCTAAGCAAATCGATGTCTGTTTAGGACAAAACGAAGAACAAATATACCCATCAGGCTATCTATGGTTATATGTGATCCACAGACCAAGACCATCTAAAATACGCATTTTGCGTTAGTCTATGCTTGGGCAAGTATATTCGTTTCGACTCAACCAAACCCTCGCTGGAATGTGTTCCGTCTCAATTTGAGCGAATGGGTCAATATCATATGTAATGTTTGCCCGGTGTATTTACTCTAGTCAAGCATATATTGCTTGTCTCAATACCTCAACTGACGTTTAGTTTAGGCTAGTGAAAGACAGATCGTGTTATTTGACGAGGTATAGTATTTTCGTGTTGGGCATTACACACATTGGTAGAATCCTACCATGAGCTATGCCCGCCTCAAGATTACATATTTTGTGTCCCAACGAGACTAAGTGTTAGGTGATATTGCAAAAATGTTGAATATGCATTACTGTTATCAGATTGGAATTGATATTTTAACCACCTTAGGTTTATTGCCTAGGGTAATTCAAAACCATGGAGAACCGTGTGCCGCGTGTTTGGCATAAAGAATTATTTTGTCACGCATGAGTTGAGCTTTAGCACGTTTCTTAACGCCTTGAATAATAGTTCTTAGAGTTAAGACTATCAGCGGTTTTCTGTAAGCAGCAGTCACTAGAGATAATGAGACAATCGCGGCGACACGAACACCTGTACCAATAGGCAAAATTAGGGAGTTGAAAATTCATTTCTTATTTTTAGTCTTGTTTTAGTAGCACTTTGGTAGCTATTTCGTGAGTTACTGATAGGCTGGAAAAAGCATAGGGAAGTGTTCAAGAACTACTAATTAATACATATATATAAATATATATATGCTAGTAAAATGTTTATTTTTGTACTGAGACATATACTTAGGGCGGAATAGATATTGGGCGATCAAGTGAGAGTCCAGGTTTTTAACATCAATAAAAATAATCGATTTTTCAGATTTGTGCATTTTTCAAATGGATTCCCTTGTATAATAAATGCCAAGAAGGATGTTGGTTTAACATTCTTTAGATTCCCAATTTAAAATACAATTTAGGTTTAATAAGCCATTCAGACAAGCTGCCTTTATGTTTATTCTTAAATTAAATTGAAACGCCCGACAGTCTCGCTTTTTCATATTCAGGGCATTGTGTTTAGGTGGACTGCTTTAGCGACAGATTCCGTGCGGTTAACTGTCTGGCTTGAAGTGTTAAATACCTTTCAAGTAGGCATAAAAAGTTGATTCAGTCTGAACTTCTCGAAATAGACTGCTTAGAGTGAGAAATTTGTGGTTTTGTCTGTATATATCTGTGCTTACAGCGCATACGATCGCCATAACAGACAGTTTTTGTTGATGTTTTGTTTACCTTCCCTCTATAATCAAGTTGTTTATAAAACTATTCTGCCGAAGCGCGTGCTAAATGCCGGTGTTGGACCGAAAAAGCTTACTTGCTGCATAAAATGTAGTCGAATTCTGTGTAGATGCTATTATTATATCACTGTTTTAGAATGTCACTTTACATCGTAACGGTAGTTTAACAATACCCAACATACGACAAAACCAGAGAACAATAGCGAGAGATAACGATTGTTTTGAAGAGCTGTTGAAATCAATACTGAAAACAGATCTTTTAGTTTCAGTAGAAACATGCCGTAGCCTACATATTAATATAAGCCTTCATGTGTTATTCATTTCACACGTAGGCCACTCGTCGTTTTCACAATGCTGAATCCCATGAGAGCTTTTTTCCAAAAGCACGCTGAAAACACAATGAAACTCCACAGTGCAATTTGATTGTATGCTACCTTTCTTGACAAAAAAAAAACGTAGAGGGAGCGGCGATAGTATGCAAGATCTAAATCGCAACAGCGAACATGTTGCCAGCATTTCTCAGTTTTGCTCTCAGTTTTGCTTCAGACGTGAAGTTGCAAGGAATGATAAAAAATAAATATTGATGCGTATTATACTGATTTCGCAATTTTGTTCGTTTGACTCAGACAAACATCTTCTGAAATGATTTGAAGGTCAAAACCATTGGCAGTCCGTCGTGTAGCTCAGTATTTGTCAAAGGCGTTTTGAGCCCGTTCGTTTTTGACGTCAAATATGGCATCAGTCAATTTGTTTATTCTTAATTTTTTAGAAAATGTTATATTTTGAGTATTTTCTAAAAGCAAGCTAAATGACACAAAAGGTTTTCAAGTTCAATGCGTATTGGATAATAGCCGGTTTTCTGTTTGGGATTCTGCTACACGTTGGGCCGTCAAAAGAGGCAAAATTAGAGAAAAGCGCCATTAAACAAGTATTAAAGAATTATGAAAAGGTTGTCGACGCTCAATCATCACTTACCGATGCCAGTTCAGAAGTTCTTTTTCGTGGGTAAGAGTTGTTTATTTTGCACTTTACCTTGAAATATTTAACAGTAGAGCGACGATTGAAAACTAGGTCTTGTTGTCAAAAGCATAAAAATACTCCAGTTACAGTTTACTTACTATCGCTTTCAGCTTTTATTCATGCTTGACTATACTGGAATTATTAGCCATTTTGATCTGGCTGAGAGTATTGAAGCCTTTACTGAACTGGCAACTTTACCTAATTTTAAATTTTGTTTTGAAAACAGGAGCTATAAACATCAAAATACGAAACTGTAATTGAAATATATTATTATCATGACATTCCTCTAGTAACCGCAAATAACATTACCGAAACCATGCACTATTATATTATATATTATTATCATATTTATAATAAAACCGATAATAATTCACTTCCAAATGCCAATTTATTACAAAAAAAAGCAATTTTGCATAATCGGTTTAGTCAAAGTTCTCCATATAAGCTGCATTGAACTAATATATTTTCACAATATAAATTAACGATTTCACGCCGTAATAAGTATATTTTTTAGTTAACAATATCGAGTTACGCCAGTTTGATCTGTAAAATGCTGTTCTCTTACATTGGTAAATTCAGGTAACTATTCAAAGCAATTATCTGAATTGGTGCACCAATATAATATTTCGCAAAATAATTGACTGTTGTCGATTTTTCAACGATCTTCGTATATTCGAACCTTTTTTATTATTATCTAATGAATTCAAATAATAAGTCGATATCGGCATTGACAAAACTCAACATTTTGCAATATCGACATCACCCCGGCAGTTTTCTAGTAAACAAGTGCCAATATTTCAAAACGTGATGGAGCGAAAAATAAAACAAACAATGTTGAACTGTAAATCGAAAACAACTACTGCATGAAATACTAAAATAAAAGAAACCTAAAAAGAATACTATCAACAACATAATACCGAAACGATCTATCGGGCTATTTTCTGCCCAATAAAAATGAAAGAAACATTTGAAATGATCACTCGTTTCTGTTGTGTCACATTTTTCCCAAAATACATATTGTAAGCTCTGTTTTGTCGTAACGGATTAAAATTGTAGAGAGAGCAATATCGATATCGACATTCATATCATACCATATTTCAAATTTAGTAAAATCGCATATATGAAATTCGGCTAAATGAAGGAGCCTATTGTAGTCAAACCCAATATACGACAATTGATTTATTGCCGGTTCTACATGGATTACACATTAATAACAACTTGAAATACTTAAAATGTTCTGATTGAATTAGTTATCTCAATGCCATGTTGCGGGCAACCATGGTGATGACGTACTCGTACTGACTTAATATATTGAAATATATGGGTTCAATCACGAACAAAGGTAAACGTCCCCTCATATACATTTCATTCCGTAAGTCATCCATTAGTTTTATCGTGTAACACAAATACAAGAATGTAAGAACAAGAAACCCCACTTGATATTTACACTGAAGGTGTTAACAGTTTGGTAAAATTTAACAGCCCTACCCTACTTCTATTAAATAAGTCATATATTCTAGAATATTCAAGATTTTGATGTGTAATAACAAACTGTGGTAATGTAAATAACTTTATGCATACAGATAAAGAAACGAGAGAAAAATACCTATTTGTTTTAAAAATATTCAAAATTGCATAGGAACGATTGTCACTTTTTATTGTCTGTTCTTGCCCAGCAATAAACTATACTGTAGTTTGAAAACAGACGAAATGGGCTATTAACTAGAGCTCTTTCGTCGTTGTGTGCATAGTTGTAACTCCTAAGCCGTAAGCGATGTTATTTAGGAATACGATGTAAATTTATTTATTTGAAGCCGTGAAATAAACTGAAATAACTCGCTCGCTAATAATAAGACTCGCTGCACGATTCAACATCTTTCACACCAAAAGTAGCTATCTTGACCCCGGAAAAGGGGGCTTAAATATCGAATATTTGTAGGTAAAACACCATTTTTCTCAAATGCGTCATTGAAAGTTAATATGTTTTAAGCTAACACCGGCCGTGACTCTGTTTGTTTAGTGCATCCTATCGAAGAAATCAAATTTATTTTAGCACTTAAAATCCAAAACCAAGTTAGCGTTGGGATGGTTACTTTAGTTGAGAGTTTACATTTAAAATTCTACGTGCTCGATAATTCCATAGATTTATTCCTCTCATCGGTGAAAATTCTAAATAAATTGAGTACATTTTTCATACTATATATTAATAAAAAAATAGGATTTTATCCATATTTGTTTCTCTGCTCAGTAACGCATCAAGCATCACAGTGACTGGACTCGCATAACGATACGAGTGCTAGCAAACAAGGAAGAAATAAAGGTCAAATAATCACATGTCCGGTAATTCGCCGAGCATACATCTAAATAGTCATATAAATTCGTTCGAACTAAGAGATAGAAGAGATATATTATGTTTGAACCATTTTTATATTTGATACTATAATGGCACCAAACTTCAACAATAGGTCCAATCATCCGAGTTAAAATTCGACATATTCATTTGGTCTGTGTTTGAATAATAGATAAATCTCTGGTTATAGTCCAAAAAGAACGTTTGACGAATATTTATGGCATTTATTCTTTGTCACATTCGGCCCTATTATTCAAGTAATACTTCCACTATTGAAGGAGATTATTAAAATTAATTAGCCAAGTCAAGTACGCGCACTTGAATATGTGGGATTAGAGGTGTATTTTGTTATTATTATTTATTATCCTATATCCAATTATGGACCATACATAACTCATGTCGATGTGACGCACCTTTTACACGCCCCTGCTTGATTCAATAAAAGCGCAAATGCATTTTTCATTCAAGAAGTGACGCAACGTCTGGGGGGAATTAACTGGAGGACCATTGAAACGTTTTTGAAATAATTTTAAGAGCGTGTTGGCTGCCAACCGAATTTTACCAATAATTTACAAAATAAGTAGATGAAAATCAAAATGGTGGATGAATTATATTTTCTATCCTGATTTTCAATTTCTCGATCATTCACAATTCTCGATCAATTCTCGAAAATGTGAAATTAAATCATAATAACATAATTGTATTCATAGATTGAGCTCCACCGGAAATCTCTGAATTTACTACTTGACTCAAGGTGTACTAAATGATAGGCACTGCCGAATCGGACAGATTTCATTTATTCTAAAAATATACATAATGTAATCCATGTATAGATCCGTGGACGGGGTTAGAACGCTTCATAGAAAACAATTGGTCATTGTTCCCAAACAATTATCTTGTTTTTTGATTACTTTAAAAACTATCTATTTAATGTTATTTTTTCAGAAGTTGCTATGTTATAATAATGTAAATAGGAGCAAGAACTGGATTTTAAGAGAATTTTTTTTAACGGAACTTTTTTTGTTTATTTGGTGTTTGCATATACGCCGTCAGTTTGATCTACTCAATTTACTAAATTACTCAATTTAATCTAAACAATTTAGTAGTAGTCATTTTTGTAATTAAAAATGTTAAAATCTTCCCAACTTGTGAAAATTATTAGGTTGATTCAAAATAATGTCGGCGTGGCATTAGCCGGAAACTATCTCAACATTCGAGTCTGTAATAGAGACTTATTCTTCTCAAATTACACCTTTGTTATTTTTTGGCGTGTGCTTATGAATGTTAACGATAATCCTGTGTCAATGTCAAGGTTAACGCAGGTCTTAGTGGTTTTGTTTCTTGTGGTATAATCATAGCGTTCTTCAGAGAGTTAAAAAAGTTCATTGAGTTCAAGGAGCATTTGTACATTGTGCTCATCGTGCTTATATCAAATGAATAATTTTGAATAGTTTTAGCACACTTTTTTACAGTAAAATATTTGTCGCCACTACTGTCTTGAACTGTGTTTAACTAACTTGGGGCAGGAATGAAGTTGAAAAATTAACAACTCGAGAGTTAAATCTGGAATAAAAGTTTCTCCCTTTTTTGGAGAAATGCTTGCTTCCGCCGATTGCGCTGGAAAATTCGTCAAATGGATCAAATTATTTAAAATAATGGTAAATTGATGAAAAAATGCATTATTGGATTATGTATGGGATTAACTCAATGGCGCGTATACTCTAAACATTATGTATATTATAATGCGATCGACCACCCTACTTTCCTACGCTCTGTTACATGCATGATTTCATTAAATGATGTATGATAATCTAATTACTCAACCTCTAGAATAAGCTTAAATGTTTCATCAAATTCGCAGCAAAAATAGTAGTATTTTGATGTAATTGAGAATTGATTCTAAGACTTCTAATATTGCCATTCCACATGAGCAAATTTACTGATAAATCTTGCTAAAATTACCAATTTGGACTCATTTATTCGAAACAGCTGCATTCTACTTAATCATTATCCGGACAATGGTGTTACGAATACCTATATCGGGCATTGTAATAAGCGATTAATGATATTTTAATAATGTTATAAGGTGAGGAGGGGTCATTTGTAATGATATTCCGATTGTGTGTTGAAATAGTCTCAAGCTTTTGACCGTACTGATTCAACGTCCTCAAGGTAGCGGTGTATTAGAATGTTCTATGTTATGTGCTAACCGATTCAAGAAGACTGGTCATGGTTAAATATTCTATGACGTCATGGTTGTTGATGTAATTAAATTGAATGCGCCAAAAAATTGCCGTGGAAATGGAGTAAGCCGTTTTTATATGAGAAGGAGAACCTTTTGTCACAAATTGCCAGTGAAAACTTAATAATATTCCTGCTCCTAGATCCATGCGACCATGCGTCTCAATTTCTTTTTAATATCGTCATTCCTAAATCAAATTACTGAAAGCTTAATTACTCAATTCTGCGACTTGTAATGGGTGGAATTGCAGAGAATCCTACTCCCCGACAATAAGTTGAACAACATTAAATCAAAAATGGAAAGTCTCGTTGATCCTATTTCTCAAGTGTCTCGCTTATTGTGATACGAATCACATAAATGCCGTGAATATTCCAAAACGTTTCAATTATTTAT